TCACCTTAAGAAACTTGGAAGCACTGCACGGCCATTTCATCCTTGTACGGAACTCATCAGCAGTGAGAAGCAGTGACCAGTGTAGTTCAACCATGTTAGGTGGGAGGCAGTTACCCACCAAAGGCTGTAGACACTACCGTAGTTAGATACCGGCTCAGTGGTCTGAAAGTTAAGCGTTCGGCCGTGAGACTGAAGGTCCTGAATTTGATACTAACTTGCGTGGGTCATAGATGCGCGCAGTGGATGAGTCCCATACTGAGACGAAACGTCCTTCTAGTGCTTCCAGGTTTCTAATGGTGATGTAACATGGACTGATTCATGATTTCAATGAAATCTTATGAATTATTTGATGGGTATTGATTGTTGTACAATCCTTAACCAGGAGTAATTTACAATCCGGTTAATATGAATGTATGATAAAATATTTTTTCTTAAATTGTATTTAATCTTTACAGAATCGTACTAGTAAATATTTGACAAAAAAAATTCATATGACCATTTCCTTTAACAGATGATAAATTCGAGAATTAAAATTGAAGTTATCGATTTCTGTCATTTTGTACTCATCAACTCTTCGGATGGAAAGTTAAATGTTAATAATATTTATTCTTTAAAGTAATTACATTTCATATAATTATTGCAAACAAATAATAAGTTCAAATCACATTGTAATCAATGTAGGATCCATTTTCGATGGCTTTGTTTGTGAAAATTCCTTCATGTATACATTTGTAATTTGTCCTTATCGGTTTAGTATGGTTTCTATTTCTTTTGCCTTCATTGAGTTTCTATGTTTCTTTCTAAACTGCATTTATGTTGTTTAAGCTGATACTTAGTCATGGCGACAGACATATTGGTTTGTTCCTCTTTTGGCTGGGTTGCTCGTATGGATTGGAATTGTGCATTTTGACTGTGAACTGAAGCACTCTTCCAGAATAGGAAACACTCTGTGTTATAAAGCAACCAAATAATATCTGTCGAACGAATCTGATCTATTCAGGAGGGATAGAATATCATTTATTTGTTCCTGTTGTTTTGAATAATTGGACAATTGTTGGTGGAATAGCTGACTGGTAATATTGTTTAGGTAATGGATGTAAATTTATATTTATGATGAATATTAGAACCGTTAGTTACCCGAATCATTTGTTTTGAATTCAATTGGGCAAGACGCTTATCTAATCTACCTAGACATTTATTCCTTAGTCCAAACCTCAGTTTGGTTCCTACAATTAATAAACCTAGTATTCAGGTAAATTTTTGCATGATAAATCCCTAAAAATTTAATTTCATCTTACATTGAATGAAAGTCTATGCATTGAGGAAATGTTTTAAAACAACCACAAAAAAAAATGTGTAAAACGTGTCTTCTATTGAACACTACAATACAAAACATTTAACAATGACATTCACTAAGACATAGTGTTCTGAAAAGAAAAATAAATAAATCAACCTAACCATGTGTGTTCATTGTTAAATACTGTCAGTTATGATTAATGATACAGTTGAAATTACATTAAACTATTATTATGATTAATATTAATGGTTTTTTTCTTCAATATAAAGCGGTATCAATTTGTTTTTTTTTCAAGAGAAAATAAAGTCTCATGAATTGTAAATAATCATTAGAGAAAGTACCACACTTGACATAAAGTGTAGAATAATTAATGTTTAACAAAATACAATCAAACAAGTCATTACATATGTATTATATATATATATATATATATATATATATATATATATATATATATATATATATATATATAACTTAACTAGGAAACAAACATTCTTAGTTGTGACTTGTCTACGACTGGTCATCTTTCTTTGCGTTAATATATAAATTTAATTAATGAAAACTAAACAGGTGACAGTCACATGTTTGCTTGTTTCAATTTAATATCATTGTTTTTACACATAGAAATCATGAGTCAAACATTGTTAGATCACCATCAGAAACCTGAAAGCATTGAAAGACGGCCATTTCATCCTGGTATGGGACTCATTAGCAGTGCGCATCCATGACTTCTGCTACCCGCAGGATTCGAACCCAGGGTCTTCGAACGCCTAACCTCTGGAACAATAGGCCAGCATCCAGTGGTGTTAATGTCTAATGCTGATCGATCTAGGGATTTTGCTCGACCTTACCCCTTTGTTTTTGGTAGTTACTACCTACACTTCACAGGTTTGAAATCTACTGGTTATGTCTTATCATTAGAACTCCAAGAATTTTCGCAAGAAGCTAGTGAGCACATTGCATGATTTCTCAATTTGAGTTATGGTGCTCATTGTATTTCTATAAACTGATTGCTGTATTATTTTTTCAAGTAATCTACCCCTTATAAATGAAACCGGTCTTTAGTAAGTAACGTTATGAACTGACCGTTGCTATACATCTATTAAGAAACAGGGGTTTTTATAAAACAATTCTATCTCACTGTGGGAAAACTCAACAGTATACATAGAACCTTTGAACTCCACGTCTGCTGGAGACCTCACTGCTTTTAAAACACTGAGTTGACGATTAATAGTTTACGTTTTTAACTTCATTTATCACACAACATAAGGTAACTAGGATCTAAATCCACAGATGTGTAAGCAGCCTTGATCACGTCAGAAACGAGTAAGTTATTCCTCAGTCGCATTGTATAATGGGTACTAAATATTGTACAATGAATGAGGCCAGGGATTTCTGTCATTCAGTGGTTCGATTGTTGTACACCCAAGTCAGTATCTAAAGCCAGTCAATCAACAGCAACATAAAACTTCGTACGTACGTACATCAGTTCATGTTGCCATAGCACATCAGCACAGAGATGTAATTGTCAATTCAAATACCATAATAGTAGAGATAGTAAAAGTATTAGCATTAATCGGACAGATAAGAATCAGAAGATATTATTCAAGAAGTAGAATCTAGTGAAATAAACTTAAAAAGATAAAATAACGAAGAATTAAAAAGTTGATGATTTGAGAGAACACAAGGAATTAATGCACCTGCGCCATTGCAAATGGTTTTGAGCCACGTCATTCACGGTCTCTAACCATCGATTACTATAATCTCGCGGACCTCAACCTACAGACATGAATAAGTCCACTTGTTAGTGACTTCATGGATTTCTGTCATATTTTGGTTTGGCCACCCCTAGCTTCCGTCCAACCTATTGCTACACAGCAAAATATAGCTCAACGAGGCAGTCGGTGGTTCGGCATACGCAATACATGTTCCAACCACCACAACTAATGAAGTTTCACTACTTCATCTATTGACCTGCCATCATTAACTAGCATCCGTTTCCTAACAACAGCATTGCTTACTCGATTGTCTCATGATACACCGGCAATGCTTCGGAGACACATAATAAAACAAGCATCGTACAAATATTTTCGACTCTCACTGGCCATGTTTCACAGCCATCAAGTAGCACGGAGCGAACTACTGCACAGTACACTCGTCCTTTAGTCAGCAAACGGATATCTCACCTACGCCATAAGTGACGCAGGTTGGCAAAGGCCAATCGAGCTTTCTGTATCCATGCTGAGATTTTGTCAGTCATCAGGCCACCGGCACTGATGAGACTCCCAAGATAAGTGAAGCAGTCTACACGTTCGACTACTTCACCGCCTATCACTAGTTCAGGTGCCGAAACAACCCAATCTTGAAGCAACATTTTGCATTTCAAGGGTGAGAACTGCATCCTGAACATGCTTGCATTGTTGCTTAGGGTAGTCAGGAGACTCTGCATTTTGTCAGCGTCTCCAACAAGTAGAACTATGTCATCGTCATATTCTAAGTCAGCAAGCGTGTCTCCTGATAGAAGGTCCACTCCTGAAAATTCAGACGAAGATAATGTTATATCTAGAAGCATATCTATAACAAAGTAAACAAGAATTGGAAAAGTGAACATCCCTGACGGACACCACTTGAAGTAAAAAATTCCGTTGACAGTTTGCCATAAGCTGTTGCTCGACCTGCAGTGTTTGAGTAGAGAGCTTGTATAAGGTTGATGTACTTCTTCGGTACACCTTCCAATGACAGACACTGACACAGAACCTCATGATCCACTGAGTCAAATACCGTCTTTAGGTCCAGGAAGACAATTTTTTGTCGGACGCCTAAATGTGTGTCTATGTTCCAGGACCTGTCATAGTGTGAAGATGTGTTCGATACAGCCACGTCCAGGTCTGAAGCCAGCCTGGTTCTCTCTAGTCTACTATTCACAAGCTATAGTTAGGCGTCAAAGAATAATCGAGGCTATTGATTTAGAAACTATATTAGTTAGACTTATTCCCCTGTGATTGTCACAAGAAGACTTTTGTCTTTTCGTATAAATTTGGACAATCAGTGGTTGAGACCAGTTAGATGGGATTACGTCCATTTCCCAGATTCCAAATAATCTCGGTCAATCTAGCTGCTAAGACTGGACGACCATTCTTAAATATCTCAGGGGTCAATCTATCAAGACACGCTGCTCTCCCTCGCTTCAGATTTCCTATAGCTTTTTCAACTTCATAATTTTACTGAAAATCAGAATTTGCGGCTTACAAAAATGGGTTATGTTCGACATTAGATGTCATCGAAACACTCCTTGAATATGCTGAAACCATCAAATGAGCGATGTTGAAGTTAGACGCATGGTACTGGGTAAGTTGATTGACTGCGTACGTACAAACATCACCTACTTGTACCTACAATTCTCCCAGTGTTGGAGTAGGTTGAAAGGGAGTTAGAAATAGTCGAATCACGACTTGGCATTATTTCACGACTTCATCAATTGATGGGCTAAACTAGGCACAGTCTGCTTGCTTGAGGTCCAAAAGATTATCATCGCTAATGGTTGCATAAGAAGGCTTAGAGCGGTTCGTTTTGACTAAGTCGCATTTACTTTTTGTTTCCTTTTAAATCCTGAGTTTCAAAATGATCTTTTCAAATTATACTATGTTCAATAATTTTTACTACTACCGGTATTGTTATTACTTGACAATTTCAGTTGACTATGTTAATGCAGTGGACCAACATGAATCGACTTCTTAGAAGTGCTAAGTTTTGTATCACATTCATGGCTGATTAAAGTACCGCTAGACATGACAAACAAAATTGATATTTTTTCATGCAAGAAATTACCAATAAAAAAACTTACAATATGTATATGTGTTCGTTGATGTTTTGCTCTGTCGGAACTATTTGAAAATGTACGATCACAACCATCTTGTTGACAAAGAAATGGTCTTTCACCAGTATGTGAACGTATATGAATTTTTAAATTTTCCAAACGAGAAAATGATTTGAAACAACCAGGATACTTTGAAAATAAATTTAAAAAATGAGTGAATTTAGGCTGATTATTATTATAATCAAACTATAAACTAAGGCGATAATGTCATTTGTAAGGGTTTAGATATTTCAATATTTCTTTCTCTTAATCACTGGTACGAAAAGGGGATTCTAAGTGAATGCTTTAACAATGTCTTTAGTTACAAGTTTTTATCATAGTTAAATTCCACTTAGCAGTAACAATCCGGACTAATGTTTCGCCCCGTTTGAAACTATTCAAATGAATACACCTAAATCTCATTTTTGACATTAAAACTTGAACTTAAAGTATACGGTATTAGATTTGAATCTCAACTAATTATTTTGGATAAATTAAAACCATTATCAGTTAATTTTCTATTGAGACTGATTAATAATGCGCATCCACAACTCCGTATGGTACTTCGGAGTACTATACTAGAATGTAACAGTTGTCCAGTATTTCCAATCTCTCGATAACTATCTTTCTTAGAAAGATTCGTGATTTCAATGAAATCCCATAACCTTGACTAGTCCCTACTGACAATTCAAATGTTTTAAATGATAGATAATACAAGGTCATTCGAATACAATAAAACGTAGATATAGTCAATTTGGCGCTTCCTAAAATAAAGTACTAGATAATGTTGAATGCAATAACAATCATTAAAAATATCTAATCTAACTTACTGTACACTTATTTGGTCGATCACCATTGTGAATACGTAAATGAACAATTAATTTATAACGTGCATTAAATGGCTTGAATTGACGTCGACAACCTTCCCAATAACAATAATATTCTTTATTTGATAAATGTGCAGTAACATGCGATGATTCAATATGATTTACAAATGATTTATGATCTGTAAATGTCTGTTGAAAACAAAAAGAAGCTTAAAGATACAATGAAGAGAGTTGAGTGCCAGCAACAATAAGTTTTGTAAAAGTGAAATTATAAACTGTATTAGGGTATTCGTTTAAGGAGTTTCCTATACTAACAGGGATTAGTCGATTTGTTAAACTGAGTTACTTAGACTGACTTATAAATGTAATTTATTAATTATTCAATAATATGTTATAAATTCTAGTTAATAACAAAAGTTTCTAATTACTGCACAACTTTAAGTAAAAAAAAAGAATTCTATGCAGTTTTCGATTTGGAAGATGTGGAAACCAGTACATACCGAGGCAGCATCATTGATCAGAAAGGTGATGAGTCTGATGCAGATATAAAGACACAGATTGGTAAAACAAGGGCAGCATTTCTACACTTGAAGAACATACCGAACTCAAAACAACTGTCAGCCGACAGAAATGTCACGATTTCTTATACAAATACCGAAACCGTTCTATGGTTTGAAACGGAAACTTCAAGAAATACAAAAGCCGTTATCCTTAAAATACTAGTGTTTATCAACAATTGGCTACACAAGATACTGACGATTCACTTACCAGTCACCATCAACGACAACCAATTGAGGGAGAGAACTAGCCAGATTGCAGCTGGATAAGGAATTAGACAAAAGTGGTCGAGGTGGATTGGACACACATTGTGGAAATCATTCAATTGCATTACAAGGCAAGCTCTAACTTGGAAGCCTCAAAGTTCAAAGAAAAGCGGAACAACAAAGAACACATTACACCAAGAATAGGAAGCAAACATGAAAAGAATGAATAACAGTTGGGTAGAGTTTGAAAAGAAGATCGACGATAGAGTAGATAGGCGAATACTGATCGGCAGCCTGTGCTCCATTACGGGAAACAAGAGTAAGTAAGTAAGCGATATTTATAAAATGTACCAATAACCTCAACAACGTATATAACTTAAAACCAATATGCTTTGTAAGAAGATTTTTATATTTTGATAGATTCATTTTTGAAGGCTTTGTTTGTTAAAATCCCTCCATGTATACATTTCTAATTTGTCCTTATCGATTTATTATAGTTTCGATTTCTTCTGCCTTTAATGAGTTTCTATGTTTCTTTCTGAACTGCATTTATGTTGTTTAAGCTGATACATAGTCATTGCTACAGACATATTGATTCATTCCTCTTTTGATTGGGTTGCGTGTTGTGACTGGAATTGTGCATTTTGATTGTGAATTGAAGCACTCTTCCAGAATAGGAGACACTCTATGTTATGAAGCAACCAAATATGAACTGTCGAACGAATCTGATCTATCCAGGAGGGATAGAATATCATTTATTTGAATAATATCATCAAACATGGTTGAATTCCCGAAAACCATAGTTTTCATTCCTGATCGGGTTATGAGTAAGCCCTGTGGTTAAGCTACTTACTAAGCTGAAAACTTCGTCCATTTAGCCATGACGTTCAATGATTATATGTCTGAAGGAAGCCCTTCCTACAACCTCTCTTTACAAAATGTAATCCAAAATAAGCACACTTAAATTTCATCAATACACGACAGCCAAATCAAAATAAAATACAGATAAGCAATACCAATCAAATCATATAATCATTTACCAAACGACATGATTTCCATCGACATATGAAAGTTTTTGTTCCAACATGACTAAACATTTCTTTATTTATCTCGATACTTGTCTGTTGTACATCTTCAATATTATTATAATCATCATTATACTTTGTAGAATGCAATTGATCTGGAATTTCTTCATGTTTATACAACATTTGAACAGGGGTTTTATCATAAAGATTATTTGGCATAGAATATGGATGATAATTTATAAGTGACTGATCATATTTCAAATAATCAGACATAGTTTTTCGATGTGTATAATCATCCGAAAGATTTGTGTAATTATGAGTTTCGTTATGAAAACTATTAATATTATTATTATTCTTATTATCACACAAATAACACGAATCCCAGTGTTTGTCTGCAGGTGCACTGTGCACTGATTGACAATTTGTCGATTCTGTTAGATAGGTCGATATTGATGAATAATAATGCGGATATTTCTCATCGTGATACTCTGTTAGATCATTGTCATTACTGTATAAATGACCTAACAGTGTACAATTCACTTCAGATTCTTGACTTTTTAAATTAATATTTTCCTGATTTTGATATGGCAAATATTTTTTAGCATCATTTTGAATAATTTTTTTTGGATAGGGATGCATGGTTTTCTCAGCATACTTCATCTGTGATAGAGTATACGAAGCAGAGTAATTAATATTATTTTCGGTAAATAATTTTGACTGAATTTGTTCATTACTGTAGTAGTCTGATGTGTCGATCCAATTCATAGTTTTACTCTTCAATAAAATGTAATGAGATTAAATTAAGTTTTGTAATTAAGACTACTAAATGCACTTTATATAAGTTACTTATTAACTGAAATGTGAATTATTCATAGTTAGACCAATATTGAAAACCTGGAAGCCTATCGTCCTAGTATGGGACTCATCAGTAGTGCGCATCCATGATTCCTGCTACTTGCAGGATTCGGACACAGGATCTTCGGTCCCTCGCGCGAACGCCTATCCTCTGGAACACTGAGCCGGCATCCAAAGGTGTTAATGTCTAAATCTGATCAATCTAGGGATTTTGCTCGAGTTCACCCATTTGTTCTCGGTAGTTACTACCTACAGCCGGAAGGGTTGACTCCAATGGTCATGTCTTCTCACCAGAACTCCAAGAATTTCCTCAAGGATCTATTCACTAGAAAAGACTCACTATTAATGTGGAAATCGAAATTTTCTTCACTATACACCCTTATTATCTAACTATATTAGACATGAAAACAGTTACCACTTATTTATAGATATTTATAGATATGTTGTTCTAATGAAATGAAAATAATACTGATTTGTTGTGACCAACAATACATATATCAAGTATATAAAATCACTTTTTTGTTCCATTAAATTTCAGAAATTCACTAACAAACTACGCTTATTAATCTTGTAGATTAGACTACGTTAGTATTTTTTGTTTACTATTGTTGGTAATTAGTAATTTCGATTAACAAGGAATCTCTCAGTAACCTTTTATCTCATTTATATATAACCCTAATGAGGTTTATGGGATTGGCCACTTTCACTCCATATTTGCTACTTACGTTATAGGTCACAGTTGATGTCCTGCACAATAGGTTAGCGAAGGCAACTGGTAAGACATTTTCTAGTAGGCTAATGATGTCTACTTAAACGAAGGATCATTTATTTGAATTGGTCCACTCGATGTGCATTTATAAATTCAGCTGCTGTTGTGGAGATAACTGTATTGGGCGTAGGTAGTGTCAGGCAACTTAACCAACGAATTAGTGGACATCTCCCAGCCTGTTTTGGAAAAGGTTTCATAAATACGAAACATAACTCTAACTTGGTACACCTGATTGATAGTAGCCATAACACAAATAAAACAGAATCATTTTGAGTGATCTAATGTACACCTCCAGCATTTCCCACCGGAGGCTGATCTCGTTTCCTACATATAACAGAAGCCATAGGAATCCAAACATTCAACGCCAATTTATGTATTCCGAAGAAATAGGTGACACTCCGGGACATGGATATCTTGTTTAGTTTAACATTTTCAATATCAATATTCATGTATAGCGAAGTTTCATAACGATCTAATTGTTCGCTTGTGTGTGTATTGTTCTAATTTTCCCAAATTAGAATCTTTAAGTTGTAATTACCATTCACCAATGAGTTCTTAACTAACAAATAATAAATTAACTTACCTTTCAATCAGTAATTATCAACTGGTCTCAAACAGTATAACTAAATACTGGTGGAGTGATATCTGCTGGAAAATTTCAAGGAATCACTGATGAGGCTAATGTCACGCCAAAAAAAGTAAAACTGTTCAGATATATTTGTGGAAAATATCGTCAAGTTAATTTAGGCATATATATATATATATATATATTTATCATGAAAAACGATGTATAGAAAATTCCACTTACTTACTCAATTTATTCCCATATTCACACTAAATACCCTAGTGTAAATCATAAGCACAGATCTTATTCATATTAGTGTTTTGTTGTTTTTTGCATGTCACCACTCTCTATCACCAGTTGTAAGCCTAATTTGACTAGCCTCGTTTTCTCTTCAAATTGAGTGAGTGATTTTTCTCTTTGCTCTATTTCTTCTTTTTGTTTTTGTGTCTCTCAGTGTGTGTGTGTGTGTGCGTGTGTGCACATCCACTACATACAACAGTGAGTGCATCAATTTTTATTGGTGCTAGAAACTTTCACTTTATAAAACTCATTTTAAAGTCGATTTTAAAATAAAAATAACAATGGAAACATGTTCTTGGCATAAAATTGAAACTATGATTTATTATTACTTTTTTTGTTTGTTAAAGTTTTGTTTTATTTTGTATGATACTAATAAATATGGTAATATATTAATTGTAACTTTTCATTGAATCACTCAATTTATTTCGAATAATTCCTCGTGGCGAGAGAGAGAGAGGGTGAGAGAGATAAAGAAAAAAGTCATATCAGAAATAAGTGAAATCAATTATTATTATTATTATTATTATTATTATTATTATTGTTTAATAATGGTTGATGATTTTTTAAACTACAGATGGATAGTACTTATTAATTTACTTACTTACTCATTTTGCCCATAATGCAGCACAGGCTGCCAACTAGTATTTACCTATCTACTCCATTCTCGACCTTCCTTTCCTATTCTACCCAACTGATATTCATTCTTTTTATGTTTGCTTCCTATTCTTGGTGTAAGGTTTTCTTTGTTGTTCCGCTTTTCTTTGAACCTTGAGGCTTCCAAGTAAGAGCTTGCCTTGTAATGCAATTGAGTGCTTTCCACAATGCGTGTCCAACCCACCTCGAGCACTTTTGCCTAATTCCTTACCCAGCTGCAATCTGGCTAGTTCTCTCCTTCCATTGATTGTCGTTGATGGTGAGTGGTAAGTGAACCAACAGTATCTTGTGTAGACAATTGTTGATAAACACTCGTATTTTGTGGTTATTGGCTTTTGTAATTTTCGAAATTTCCGCTCCATACAATAGAACGGTTTTTGTGTTTTGTCCAGTGAATTCTGATTTTGAGGTCAGTTGACAGTTGTTTTGAGTTCCAAATGTTCTTCTAGTGTAAAAATGCTTCCCTCACTGCGCTAATCCGTGTCTTCACTTCTGTATCAAATTCACTTTAATTGATCAATGAACCTGTCCATGTGTGTTACAGTTCCCATGTCGTCCAAAGCATCTTCATCAGGTGTGATTTAGCCGGTGCATGTTAAACTTTATCTGAGAATTTCGCTTTTTCTCTTTTACATGCTGAGACCTACTACTGCAGAGGCTGCTGCTGGATTGTCCATTTTCCCCCAAATTCAACGGTCAACAAAATACCCAATATTGAGGCGGGTCAAATATTTGTTCATTTTTAAAAACTATGGATTTTATGATGTAAAATTACCTATTCAGCATAGGGTCCTGGATGTTGTTGAATTTTATTAAATTGATTAAATGATCAGTACTAAACCTCTGAAAACCTGGAAGTGCTGGACGGCCGTTTCATCTTAATATTAGGCATCTCATCAGAGTGCATCCACAAACTATGTGGGAAGTTTAACCTAGGGACTTCGATTCCTCACTCAAACACTTAACCCTTAGACTGCCGAATCGGCTTCAGTCAGTCCATCATAATCAGTGACAACCTATTTTATTTGGTGAGTAACTGCCACACACCTGACACAAATGGATGATTTTTGCATAAATAAAACTGACAATACAAAAACGCAAATTCTAATACTCCTATGTTGTAGTATGAGATTACTTATTTTAAAGTGCTGACAAGGGATAGACAAAATGATTCACAAAGAAGTAATGGGTTTGTGATGTCCAGTTTTAAATATTTAGGAACAAAGTGACCAACTTTGAAACCTGCCGTCGAAATTCTTCGACAACTGATTAAGAAAATTCTGCTGACCCCTACTGAATAGTCTACATCTATCTATAAAAATGTCTCAGTAATACAGTCTTTTACTTTGTGAACCGACTGTATGTCTAAGAGCACAGAATATCCCATATCTCTTACAATTCCAGTTCAGGAAATTGGTCACAAATGAATATTCACCAACCTTTACAGAAACGAATGTCAATACAAATAATATATGTCAAACAATGATTTGTTAACTATGTATATTAAAGTAAAGAAGGCGATTTTGAATTTTATCAGTAACCCAGAGGACAACATATGGCTGTGAATTATAAATATTTACGGTTAGACAAAATTTGTTGAATATCACAGTATGATTTATACGAATTTCTCAAGACACTGGAGAAAATGTCACCTATTTGCAAACTACTTATTATACCGATAAGTAGCACAAATCAAAACACTATAATCTAAAACAGAAAAAGTGTTGAAAAATATATTAATCGTAAAGAAAACATAAATTCAAAGTACGTTGAATAATGTTTATCTGAATGAAAATTATTGCTTAACAAAGCAAGCTAGTGTGTATCAGAAGTAGTTTTACTATTTATTAAGTTCAATATGTAATTTACAATTCATTGCTTGATTGATAAACAAATGTTCATGAACATCAAAATCCTTGGTTTCGGTGAATGTCATTTCTGATAATTAACGTTCAATGTTCGATCGCCTAGTAAACGGATGATGATAATTTCAATTCTATTTTCATTTCCTTCAAAATGAAGCTTGTTGAGGTGAATTATTTTTATTATTACTGTGGTGCGTTCTGGTACACATGGTTTGTCCGAGCTTTCGGACAATCTTATTACACTTTTCTGACCGCGTTCGCATAACCTTTGACCTTGTCAATTATTCGCTTAAAATAATGGTTGTTTTTATTTGAGTGCGTGTGTGTACTGATTGTTTCGCTAGTACATGGAAAATAACCTATCGGGTTTATTATGTCGACTATGTAATATGCACAATTGTCGAGGTCTAAGAAAACCATTGTTACAGAGTATTCCATTTTCCAGACTTCTTTCTTTTTAGAATAGACAAAAAATGTTTGTGATCTAAGTAATCAGATGAAGAAAGTTAGGGGCGGCCAGACCAAATCATGGCAGAAATCCATGAAGTCATTGACTAGTGGACTGAGCCATGTCGGTAATTGTCGACTACCTGGTTGGGGTCCGCGAGATGATAATAATCGATGGTTAGAAACCTTGAATGACATGGCTCAAAATCGTTCGCAATGGCGCCAGTGCATTTATTCTTTGTGTTCTCTCAAACCCTAATCTTTTGGATTCTTCAACACCTCTAGTTTCGACTCTCTAAACTTTTCTCAC